GCCAGTGTGGGCGAGCGGGCCAGGCTGAGCCCGGCGGCCGGTGCACGTGGAAGAGCAGTCACACACAGTGTGCTTGGAAGACGCCCTCACGCCCTGGCAACACGCTCAGGGCATCGACTGGACAGATCAGGGCCCCGACTGCCTCTCCACGTGTGCCTGTGTGTGCACAGGCCGGGAGGGTCACACCAGGGCCAGCGGGGTCTCAGGTCAGTCAGGAGCCTGGAGGAGGGAAGGAGCTCGGAGGCTCGAGGTCACGTAGTTGGAGGTGCCAGGTTAGCGCCTGGGGAGCTGACTGGGGTCTCCAGACACTTGAGGCCGTGTGCGCAGAGCCCTGTGACGCTGCGTGTCTGGAAGCCCAGCAGCACAGGCGTGGCCGGTGGTCAGTGCTCTCGATCACCCAACCGCGGTGCTTCTGTGACACAGTCGCCTGTGAGCGGCCTGCAGTCGGTCCTCGCCTGACGCGTCCGCGGGTCTGGCCAATGGGACAGTTGTTCTCGGGGTGATTGGCACAGAGAAGAGCCCGGTCCTGTGGCCCCCCCATCACCATTATCGTGAGAAGAGGCGGGTCAGGAGCTGCTGTGTTTGAAAGTGAGCCTGGGAGCAAAGAGCCCCGTGAGCGATAGAGCGCGTCCTGCGCGAGCTGCCCCTGGTGTCACCCACAGCCCCCTGTCCGCGGTGCCTCCTGGGAGGCAGGCCGTTCTCTCCCCACGGGACCCTGCCACTCAGCACACGCACCTGCTCACCAGGCGGGTCAGGTGTGGGAAAGGCCGCCCCGTGCGGAGGGGGAAGGGAGAGCAGGGAGCCTGCTGTGGAGTGGGCGTGTGGGCACCAGGTAAGTGGCTCTCCGCGTCTTTGCCTGCTGGCCCCAGGGTCTGGGCAGCACGTCCATGGTGTGCCACGTGGTCTGAGGCACAGGGATGGGGCTGAGTCACTGCTGAGCTGGGGCTGCCTGCAGCCAGGGGGTTCGGGCGGGAGAAGCACGCGTGAGCGGTAAACAGATTCGGCCGTGTGGGAGGACTGACCTCACTGCTGTGGGCAGTCTGCAGTCAGGCCTCCTGGGTCTGGGTGTTGGGGACTCGGAGGATGAGGGGGAGCCCTAGGCCTTGCCTCCTGTCCGCTCCACATGACTCGCTGCTGGTTGGGACACGGTTCTCTGAAATGGCGTGGAGACGGCACAGGGAGTGACCGCTCTGTGAAGCCGCCCGGCCTGGCACCTTAGGGTGCAGAGTCGTCTTGCTCCCTCCCCACCCACAGGCCTGGAGGGCACTGAGATCTCGACCGAGCGTTTGGGTGTCTGTACCAGGACCCTGCTGCTGGTGCCCCAGAATTTCCCAGAACTGTCTCCGGTGTCGCTGTGTGGGACTCTGCCTGGTGCTCGTGCCCCAGAATTTGTGTGTAGCTTGTGGGCCGGCACCTGTCAGACACGCAGCCGGCCCCGGCCAGTCCTGGGGCTCCTGACCCCTCACCACTCTGCCGGCTCTGTCCAGTCCTGGCCTGGCCTCTGCACCTGCTCACCCCCCTGTTCCTGTAAGATGCCACCTTCCGGCCTCTCCTCCTGCCAGGTGCCAGGGGTTGGGGCTTCAGCACAGGGCTGGCCTCCCGCCGTCCCCCGCCCCCAGCAGCCCTGGTGTGGGACAGCCTGGCAGGTCAGGGTGGGTGTGGCTTTGATTCTGTGACTCTTGAGGTGCAGAGAGGGAGCTGTCCCCATGTGGGTACCTGCTTCACCGAGGACGTTGTGTCCACCACACTCTGAACTGCTGGGGGCCCAGCAGCCTTGCCGTGACCCTGGCAGCTTCTCACCTTGGTCACACCTGTGGGGTCCACCCAGCTGTCCCTGAGGGCCTGGGCCATGGGTGGCTGTGCTGCTCCCACCACGCTTTGCTGAGGCTGCACCAGGGGAGGCTGGGCCCTGAACCGTGTGTGCACAGCATCAAGCTGGTCTGGGGTTGGCCGGGCAGCAGGGCTCCGCGGTGCCGCCGGGTGAGCCCTTGTCTTGTCTCTGCCCTCAGAGCTGCCTGGAGTTCAGCCTCAGGATTCAGGAGTTCATCGAGCTCATCCGGCAGAACAAGAGACTGGACGCCGTGAGGTGCGCAGCGAGATGGGCGCACGGGTCCGGACGGGCAGGCACGCACGGGAGGGCTGACCCGTCCTGTCACCCGGGTCCGGGTGCCGTGTGGGTCCTTGGGGGTCGGGTTTGTGTAGACCAGGGTCACAGGAAGGGCTCGGGCCGGGGCCTGCGTAACTGTCTCCGGTGTGTCTGTGGGACTCCACCTGGTGCATCTCACACGGTCCCCATCCCGGTCCCTCGGTGGGGTCGGGCGCTGGCGAGCTCGCTTCCCGCAGACCCCGGCTGGGCACTGAGTGTAGACGGAGCTCACGCTCTGAAAGGCGGGACCAGCCTGAGGAGAGCGACCCGTTGTCTTGTAGACACGCACGGAAGCACTTCAGCCAGGCCGAGGGGAGCCAGCTGGACGAGGTGCGGCAGGTCATGGGCATGCTGGCCTTCCCGCCGGACACCCACATCTCCCCCTACAAGGTACCCGCGCCCCCGAGCCCTTCCCGCCTCCTGTCCCCGTCCAGAGTCCAGAGCGGCTCCTGTGCTGTGCAGCCGCCCAGGGTCCTCTCCGTCCTGGAGGCTGGGGGGGGGGGGTGGGGGTGGGCACTGCTCGTCAGGAAGGGGCCTCGAGCTCTGAGCCCCTCCCCACGGCCTCCCTCCTCCCGCCCTGCCTCGCCACATGGGTCTGAGGACCTGCCTGTGCCCTGGGACCCAAGTGACTTCCTCCCTTGGCCTGAACCAGCTCTGCTGTCAGGCCTTGAAGCTGCTGCGCCCAGGGCTTCCCCTGCAGCCTCTCCCATCCCAGGCGGGGCCCACCCCTCTGCAGGACATTGGAAGCTTCCCCGACTGAATTCCCAGTCAGTCCCGGGTCCTGGAGCTCCTGGGTGGTGAGCCCACACGCAGGCTGGACCACGGCACCGGCCCTGCTCCGGGGGAAGCGCGTAGGCCAGAAAGGCCAACCTGCCCTGGGAGCAGGCGTCCAGTCGGGGGCCTGGGCCTTCCTCCCGGCGGGGCCTTGTGGTGGCACTTCCCACGGCACACGGGAGAACCTTGGCTCAGGAAACGGGCAGCTTCCAGCACAGGAAGCAGAGCTGAGGCTGCGGAGTGTCCTGGAGAGAGGGGGCAGGGGGGAGCTTGGAGGACCCCGCGCGTGCTGTGTGCAGCTGCCTGGCCCTGGCGGGGAGTCCTGGGCGTGTGAGGGCCGAGAGGAGGCACAGAGCTGCCCCCCAGCGCGGGCCTGGCTGCGGGCCCCACCTCCGGGCACTGTGCTGGGATGAGAGCAGGGAGGGCGGCGTGGTGGCCGCTGGGCTTGGGGTGCTGCGCGCCTGGCTGGGGGCTGGCAGGGGGCTGGTTGCTTCTTCCAGGCTGATGGCAGGGATTTCCCTTTTCATCTGTGTGCCCCCCCCCACACACACACACACACGCAAACACACGCCTTTGAGTGTGAACTCGACCGTTGTAGAGGCAGGCGTGGGCCAGGCTTAGCCTTATTTCCTGGGAGGAGGAGTTTCCGTTCACTCAGTGCCCAGCAGGAGGCTCAGACTTGCTCATGGAGACCTGTCGGTCCCGAGGCCGTGGGACCCCACCCTCTGAGCGCCCGTGGGCTGGAGGGCCGTCCGGTGGCCCAGCTCTGCCTTCCCTTCCAGGACCTGCTGGACCCGGCCCGGTGGAGGATGCTGATCCAGCAGTTCCGGTACGACAACTACCGGCTGCACCAGCTGGGGAACAACTCCGTGTTCACCCTCACCCTGCAGGCCGGCCTCTCGGCCATAAAGACGCCGTATCCTTCTGGGCTGTGTCTGCAGCCCTGCGCCTCGCGGCCTCTGCCCTGGTCACGCGGGAGTCCCTGTGCTGGCCCCACCCCGTGGTGCCGGCCGTCTTAGAAACCTGCCCTGACTCCCGCACACTGTCCACGGAGAGCAAGCGTGCGTGTCCTCTGGCAGCTGGGACTGGGCCATTTAGAATAGCTTTCCGGTGGGTTCCAGGTCCTGTGGTGTCTGCTGTCCCAGGGGCCATGCTCCCCAGAGCGGAGCCTTCCTGTGGCCAAAGAGCTGACCCGGACCCCGTGCTGGTCTGTGGGTCCCTCGAGTGCCCCGGGGGGTCCCCTCCAGGACCCCATCAGGGCCGTGTGCCTCTTGCTCGTCATCTGACGCTGGCACGGTGGGCAGGCCCTGCCTGTGGGGACAGGTGGCCGTCCTGGGCCGTGCGTGGGTCCCCTGCTCCCTGTGGGCTCTGGCCTCTGGGTCCCTCGGGGCCGTCCCCGGACCCTTCCTTAACCCGCGCAGGCAGTGCTACAAGGAGGACGGCAGCTCCCGGAGCCCCGACTGCCCCGTGTGCAGCCGCTCCCTGAACAAGTTGGCGCAGCCCCTGCCCATGGCCCACTGCGCCAACTCCCGCCTGGTCTGCAAGATCTCGGGCGACGTGATGAACGAGAACAACCCGCCCATGATGCTGCCCAACGGCTACGTCTACGGCTACAACGTGAGCCGGGGCCGCGGGGGGCGGGCGGGGGGCGCTGGTGAACGGACGGCTTGGTGCCTGGGGTCACTGTGGTCTGTCCTCATGCGTCCGTCTTATCTCGCAGTCTCTGCTCTCCATCCGTCAAGACGACAAGGTCGTCTGCCCGAGAACCAAAGAGGTCTTCCACTTCTCCCAGGCCGAGAAGGTGTACATCATGTAGGCGGCGCCTGCCTCGCGGTGCCTGTTTCTTGCGACCAAAGATCCGTGAGCAACGGCAGACGCTTAGGAGCAGAGGAAGGAGAGGGGCAGCCTGTACTGGGAGCCACACTTGATCGTAGGACTTGGTAATGGGAGTCGACGAGCTGATGCGTCCGGGGAGGACCGGCACCTTCCGGCACCTTCCAGAGACTCGAGACCCACTGGACACCAGGGAGACCTGAGGACGTTTCAGAAACAGTTTCCTCCCTGTTGCTCGTGACCAGCCTGGGAGCAGGCGTGTCCTGGGTGGTGGCGCCTCGCATGGACGGCTCTCGTCGCTTGCTGGCGTGGCTGTGCCCCCCGTGGGGCCCCATGGCCACCTGCGAGGCCTGCGTGGTGGTGGCACTCAGCTCCAAACGCTGTTGGCACAGACGAACGTCCAGCTGAATAACCACAACGACTTGGGATCCAGGGAACCGAGTAGCCGACGCCGCTGTCCGTAGGTTTGTGCTTAGTGCTCAGTTGCATGTGGATGTTGCTTAGCTAATAAACTGTACATGTAACCATGTCAATAAAAGGGTTTCTATTTCTCGTTTCCGTGTGAGCGGAAGCTGCTCTGCCTTCCTGACGCCTAGGCCCTGTCTGCTGTCCCGTCCCGTCCCCCCCCCCCCGTTAGCAGCTCGAAGGCCCCCCCCCCCCCCCCCCCGTTAGCAGCTCGAAGGCGGCCCCTGCTACAGGTTGCTGAGCAGTGCACTGTCCAGGGGCTGGGCCACCAGCAGGACCCTCCCCGCCCCCACCCCGCCCCCCAGGCACCTGCTGAACTTGGGAGCGGGTGGCGTCACCCCCATCCCCTCAGCTGGTGAGGCCTCACTGGAGCCGGGCTCCTCCTGAGAAGTTGCTGGGCAGGGACTGGGCGCTGGGTCACGCACCGTCCGGCCTGCCCCAGTCAGCACACGCCAGGGGCCGGGGAGCCAGGGCTGGCTGCACGCAGCCTCAGGTAGGACTCCCTCTGCTGGCCCCAGGAGCTGCCCAGCTCACTTTGGCCAATTCCTCCTAATTTGTGTAGCTTCTGTCATTGGCCAAAGTGGGGCTCAGACGCAGCTGGACCATCCCTCAGCACCTGACCCTGACGCGCTCTGGGGTTAACTTGCACCCCCATTGCTCCTTCGAGGCCTGCTAAAGCCACAGATGGCCTTCACAGCCCTTACAGCCCCACTCGGCCTGCTCCCCACCTGGGCT